TGTGTTGAGGGTTTGGGGATATGTGCCCACCTTGAGAAGCTCCACAGCTTTTGAAGACCGTAAGTCTGGTGTAAGTTTGGGAATAAAGGTTATTTTAAAGTTAAAAATGAAGGTTAAAATCCTTATTTAACCCATATTATTTTTTAACAAAAGTTTCTTAAAAACCTAGTAGGTATAGTATATACTCCAGTATAAGCTGACCTGAATATCAGCCAAGGTGTCTAATTTTACCATAAAAACTGCATTAAAAATGTGCTGAAAAACGGCTTGTACATGAGTATATACCATATTCGATTAAAAGTATTTACTTCTAGTCAAGTCCTCTATTAGATATATATTTTTTCCAAGCCTGATTGCTATCCCTGCTCCCATTTCAGCTTGCAAATAGCTGGTTCTTGTTTGAGTTCAGCATCTTCTTCTAATACCTTGATACATGCTGCTAGCAACACATGACGCATGCCGCAGCGTGCCTTCGCCCACCCTACCCTCCAGAGCTGCCTCGGTGGGCATCTGGGCAGACTTTTGATTTCTTACTCCCTTCAGTTTTATCAAGTGCTTTGATAGTGCACAGCAAGGGCTTCTTCTTTCTAGTCTCCAAAATCTGTTTCCCGGCTGCCCAGCCACAATTCCAAGGCCATCTTTTAGTTGTCTATTACAATAGGGTTCATTGTAAAGCGCTATAAATTCTTGTGTTGTTGGTTGATGCAACTTTTTAAAAAAAATCATTTTATTGGGGGCTCCTACAACTCTTATCACAATCCATATATACATCAATTGTGTAAAGCATATTTGTACATTCGTTGCCCTCACCATTCTCAAAACATTTGCTCTCTACTTTGATGCAACTCTTAACATTAGCGGCTATAACACATAAATACTGAAATCTCAGGGCTTGATAAAATAGAAGCTTTTCCTTATTCTGTAAATTCAACCTGCATGGGCATATGTGTACGCGCATGTTGAGAGAGACGATATCTGCTCCCCAAAGTCATCCAGAATTAAAACATGTTTTGGTCTATAATCTTCTTTCCATCTCAATTGACATAGGCTAAGCTTCACTTAAAAGACCATCAACCAAAACCCGAACAAACAAAACCACCTGCCACCATGTCAATCATGACTTAACATAGCAAATCTATAGGACAGGGCAGAACTGTCCCCCCGAGGCTCTTTACAGGAGTAGAAAGCTTCATCTTTCTCGCTCTGAGTGGCGGGGGATTTCAAATTGCTTGCCTTGTGGTTAATAGTCCAATACATAGTCACGACACCACCGGGGCTCCAAAGTTCTTTCTGGAAGGAATGAAAGAACTTGGTACTCTGGGTCTGGTCTCTAACCTCTTAGGTGACTGCTCTGGGTGCGGCTTACACCTGTGGTGAGGTACTTTAGTAAAGTTGAAAAATGGCAGGAGTTAGAAACTCCAGGTATATGGCCAGAGTTGCGGCTACCTCCAAGATTTTCACAGTTACTGTGGTAGCGATCTAATTTCCTGTCAACTTGAAGATATATAAAAGTTTAGGGGTGGTATTCAACCTGTCAGTCAGGTCACAACCTGATGGTGCC